TAATCTGTTTTGCTATCCTCTCTTAATATACCTTTCTCATCCCCGTCATAAATACTGGTATTAGAATCCCAGGAATATTTTTCACAATGCATAGGATCTGTGAAATTTGGTGACAGTGTAATACTCAAGGAGAGAAAGGACAGTAAGTATTTCCAAGAAAATAATCTAATAGCACGACGACACATCTGGGTATAGAGCACAGCCAACTCTAGCGATGGGTACACTGAAGAGATAGACTCAAGGTCCACACTACAGGTCTGGGGCCTCATTCTCCATTCTACAGGCCTGGGTCACCATCCTCCACACTACAGGCCTGGGGCACCAGCCTCCACACTAGTTATGGAGCACCTCCCTCCATGCTACAAGCCTGGGGTACCATCCTCCTCATTCCCCAAGATCCTCAACAGCCTTAGTCCACAGACAATTTCATAGTCACTCTGCCCAACCATACACATTCTACCCCTTTCCATTCCTCACCAGCCTAACTCGATGATTATTTGATCTTTTTTTATTATTTTTGAACCCTCTAAGAATAATCCATGCAGACTGGAAGACATTCAATTCAAACAATTCATATTGACATTTCTATTAAAGTCAGAATCTCTCTTCACTCCTTTCAATGCAACACCTAGAGGAAGTCCCTATTAATGTTTAACCATATTCTTCCTTATCCCCTACACTCACAATTATGTGAGTAGGTGTTTAGTTTATTGACACTGCTGGAACACGCAGAAGAGACACAGAGAGACAGAGAGACAGAGAGAGAGATGAATTTTTGCAAGAAGTTCCAAAACTAAAGTGCTGAGTCAAAGAGCATATGCTTTGGAAATTTTTAGCAACTACCACAAAGCTTTATGTAAAATGTTCCCATTTTTTTTCACAAAGAGAAAGTACTATTTTATATAACCAAAAGCTAATGCAAAGACGTGTACAATGTACAATCTATACGTTCACCGGGAGAGTATCGTGTTTCTACTCTTATAAGTTCTTACAAATTGCTGAAGAAAGGCAAACTGTGAGCCCAGAGGGTAATGTGTTTGCCTTTTCCAAAGGGAAAAGATAAATAAAACAGGCATGACCTCCATTCTTGGCCTCAACTCAGACAGTTTCACTTCCAACAGTTTTATCCTGCACAGACTTATAAACTAAGTATCCTATTTCCTTCAACAAATGGTAAAAATGCCTATATATTCTACAAAAACATGCAGAATGTACATTTTTAAAGTAGTGACTATAGTATGTCTCACCCCAACTTGAGTCCTGTTTGAGACTAAAGCAACATATACATAGGAAATCTCCATGCACCTCCATGAGCTGTCAAAAGACCACAATCTCCATGCAAAGTGCACAGTCCTAACTCTCTCTGAGAAACTTTATTTCCCACACAAAATTTTCCTACACAAAATTTTGCATACTTCCTATGCAAAAAGTGTAATATCTGGAAGCTATACCACAAATGTCCTAGCTTTAGACTAGCTCTGAAAATAGCTCATACCTTTCACAAATGTGTGTGTGTGTGTGTGTGTGTGTGTGTGTAAGAGAGAGGAGAAAGAGGTACAGAGCTCTGTTCATGTGTGGGATGCACACACAAACATACACTCATACATGTGGACGCTACAAGGGCAAATCTACGGTATTATTTCTAAGAGATATCCTCCTTGTGATTCTTTTGTTTGTTTTGTTTAGCTGAGTGGTTGGTTTGGACAGACAAACTTCCAGAACCTGGTACTCCTGGAGTAGGCTAGAATGAATGAGCAAAGAGCCCCCAGGATCCACCTCTCTCTGCCCTCCCCCAAAGCAAGATTACAGACGTGTAATTGGATTCAGACCCTCATATTTGTGCAGCAAGAACTTTACTGACTGGGCCATTTCCGAAGCCTCACACTTATTTTTCATTAAAAAAAAAAAAGCTTTTCATTTTCTGGATTTTCTTAAATTAGGGTGAACCAAAGGAAAAAAAAAACAAAACCAAAAATCACCTGAATAATCTAAATGCTGCTTTATATACTTTATTGTGTTTAGTAACATTTAGCAACACAACAGAAAAGAAAGTAGATGTGATCATATGATCATCTTAAATACACAAAGCAAAAATGTCATCATGTTAACAAAATCCTTTTCAAGAGGGACCTGAAATGAACAGTGAACAACAGAGCCATTCTTTAGCAAATGAGGACTCTTAGGCATGACTAAGAGTCTAGTGATTCATTTGGCCCTGGGGGTTTGCCTGCTTTACCTCTGCTGTTGGAACAGAGAAGAGACCCTGAAGGTGAGAACAGCATGAGTTCTGATCTCAGCACACACATGGCTGTGCACAACTGTCTTTAACTCCAGTTCCAGGGGATCGGATGCCCTCCTCTGGGTCTGAGGGCACTCTAGGCATGCATACGGTGCACATACATACATCTCTTTCAAAGATAACTTAAAAACAAATAACAACAACAAAACCACCAGGCAATTTTAATATGCATAAATGTTTCAGAACTTGCCAGACTGCACATGCCAGAAGAATTCCAGTCTTCCAATTTCTGCCTCTTTAAGTCACTCAGGTAGACATAATTTGTCTACTTACAGTCACTATCCCCAAGGCCTTCAAATTTACTCCTAATCTCCTGAAGGCTGAAAATATCTGCTAATCAAACTTGCTAAATTTGGATATAAAATGAAATAAATCTATGTTGAATGAGATTTGTCTTCAACTGAATGCACTTTGATATACTAGCTACTTAAAGGTATGTTGAATAACAGTTTAGCATTGCTTATAAAGGTAAACAAATGCTTGTTAAATAACCCAACTACCTGTGCAAAGGTACACACTAAGACAGGATCTTCATTATTTACAACAGCACCATGCAGGATTATCAAGACCTGGCAAGTGTGAGACATGCACTAGATGGAATACCATTCAGCAATGAACACTGTAACCTAGGAACCCAACAAGTCAAATAATCGGCAGAAAAGCTATATACCATTTGATTTCATTTATATGGCATTCTGGAAAATGCAAAATAATTAGGGCAGAAATTAATAGACTGATAAAAGTTAGGATGGGGAGAAGGAACATACTTCAAAGAAAACTTTCAAACAACTCTCAAATAAATTTTATTATGTACAAGTTATCCTTCAATAAGCCCTGACAATAAAAGTAAGAGGTTTGGGTAATGTGTGGCCAAGTTTTATATGACTCTCCAACACATTATAATTTATTGGCTACAGTCTCAGAGTCAAAAGGGAAAGTCAATGGTTATCCTGTATGTGCCTGATCACCTTCAGTGCTCACATCTCCAGAGCTGAATCACTTCACCTTTCATAGCTCTTCTAGAATGCTACTTTAGTAAATAAATAAATAAATAAATAAATAAGCAAGTAAAACAGTGTACACAGAAACAGTATAAATGTACACTTACACACATACGGATAAATAAGAGACCCATGCAAACATATCCTTGTAGCCTCCTGCCCATTTCTTCTAGTTTACTTTAGCTGGGTGGGTTAATGAGTGCATTCTTTCCAAATGCACTATGAATTTCTGAAGACCCTCTCTTCCTAAAGACTAGACATTTTAGTAGTGTTTTCAGTCTTTTAAAGCACATATTGGGAGCTGAAGAGCTATCTCATCCGGTAAAAGTATGTGTGGCTCTTGACTAGGACCCAAGTTTGCTCCCAGTGTCTCTGCTGGACGGCTCACAACCACCTTTAATTCCAACTCCAGAGGATCTAATGCATTCTTCTGGCCTCTGAAAGTCACTCGCACATACAAACCCACATAGAGATACAAACATATACACGAAATTAAAAACAAAATCTTTAATGTGCATTCAATGAATTAGATATGATACATCTACTTAATACCAGCACACTCCCCCATTATCCTTTTAAATCATTGTCTTGCCCAGTCCTGCAGCCATTTAGTCCAAAATAAATATACAGAGGTTTATATTAGTTATAAACTGTTGGGCCTATGGCTCAGGCTTTTTATTGGCTAGCTCTCTGTTAATTATTAACCCATTTCTATTAATCTATATATCTCCACCTGGTCTAGGCTTACTAGTATTGCCCAGGCCTCTTTCTTCCTTGGTGGCTACATGGCATCTCTCTAGAGACCCACTCTCTGAGCCTCTTCCCAGAATTCTCCTCATCTGGTAGACCCGCCTATACCTCCTCCTGGCTACATCATGCTTGTCCATTGGCCAAAACAGCTTCATTCATCAACCAATACAAGGAACACATATTTGCAGCATACAGAAGGCCCTCCCACATCATCTTGTTCTCCAGTGCCTGACCATTCAGAGATCACTGGGTATGAAACTGCCTTCTCCAAAGACAATGACCTCTAAGTCAAAGCAAGAAACTACAAGGACTCAAAAAGCAGACACTCACATTAATATAGTCCTGAAAATGCTAAAGAGCCAGAAGGCTATTTCTAATCATTCCCCATCAAAGACTTGAAGCCACACGAACAACTATGTGAGCACAAAAACAGGCATGGGGACAGAGGGTAACTGAAAGATGCCGAAGTATTGCATACTTTTAAGTTGGAATTCATAGTACAACAAAATAGAGAAGGGTCATGTGTGCAGCAAATTACAACTATGTGAAAATTATTCATCTTCAGCTACTATATTTATGAAACTACATAACCAGAATGTATTGCAAATTACCTCAGCAGTTTTGGGAGATAATTCTTTATTAAAATATCCCTCAAATTTGAGCAACTAATTCTATCATATGTTCTGAAATGCTATTCCCTAAAAACTCCTATATCTTCTAGGAACTTCAGAAAAATAAAAACACATGGAAGCACTAAACATTTCAAGTAATTTTAGCATGCTGCAATCATAATCTCAATTCCAACCATTAGAATCTTATGACTGTGGCATAGCCAACTAACACCATACACGGACATCATTTTCACACGTTCATCTATGTAGTCTTTAACACACACTATGTGTTATGTGCATATAATGGACAACCAACAGAAACAGCAAAATGTAACTTACCAGACTAAATCCCAGATGATGTCACTGTGCAATTTCCAAAGAGTCCCGAGGGAACACAGGCATAATAATTTTTCTGTTCTTCTCCAGGTACTAAACATGAGACACAAAAATAAGCCTGTAATTTAATGAGTAACACAGTTTATAAAGCAATTATATTAATTCTAACTGCAAAACAGAATGACAGTCACAGGAGGTACTAATACTGGGTACAGGTTATATGGGGCACAGTAACTAATTAATTCAGTTAAAAAGTTGTTTTGAGTTAGTTTGACTAAATGAATCTTCAAAACATCTTACTGCACTTGGTCCCCTGTGCTTATACTGTGTAAACTCTACCTAGAAACTAAGAGCATTTAACGAGGCTAAATAAAATCACATAAAAAATTGAAGGCGTAAATGATGGTTTTACCATTCCATTCCTATTGATGTGTTCAGAAGATTGTATGGGGGTGGGGAACAGCAATGCAGAGGCAGGTACAAAAAGAATGGATCTTAGCTGGAGCTATGCTAAGAACTCTTCCTCCTGACCTTGCATCAACAGCAATCTCTAAAATGAGGCCAATCATACCACTGTCCCTCCATAATACAGGTTATGTAGATCGAGGGAACTAAGTAGGTGAGTGTGATTTGCATGCTGCAAGCCCTTTACAGATGTGTGATCTTATTATTATGCAATTAATTTTGGTGTCTACTCATTTGAATTCTAAAATAGCAACAATAAAAATATCCTTTGTTAGACTGCTGGAGGCAAAGGACCTTCTAGAAGGTGCTTGGATGTGAGTGTGTGTGTGTGTGTGTGTGTGTGTGTGTGTGTGTGTGTGTGTGTGTGTACACGTGCATTCAACCATGCAGGCACATGTGGAAGCCAGAGGTCAACATCAGGATTACATTCTTCTTCTATTCACCTTATTTATCTTGGTACCGAGGAGTAAACCCAGGATCTTGAACATAGGCAAGAACTCTGCCACTGAGCCATACCCCTAGGTCCCTACTTCATTTTGTGAGAAGGAATTTCTAACTAAAAAAACAGATCATCAATTTAGCTCGGCCACTGGCTAAGGAGTCACTGGGATGCTCCTGTCTCTGCCGAAAAGAACTGGGGTTTTAAAAGTCCACTGCCATGCCTAGCTTTTATGTAGGCGCTAGGGAACACTCGGGTCGTCATTCTTACACAGTAGGCATTTTACCCATTGACACACCTCGGGACCCAGAAGACAGACAAACCAACCTATTCAAGGTCTCTAGCATCTATCTCTTCAACGTCATCCCCCTCTTAACATGGAATTAAAAGAATCTATCTTTATCTCTTGCATCCCCAGTTAATTGGATTAATTTGTTAAGACAAACAAACAAAACACCTCCCCAAAGTCCTTTTCAACCTGTACAGCTTTAATAGGTTTCTATGTTTTCAGTATTGTACTCAACATAAGGTGGGTAGGTGCTCATTAGAGTGGACAGGATTCATTTTTATCTACATATCTACATGGGTTTGTGGAGCCCAAAAACATAGCAATGTGCTATACAACACATTCTCAGACCAAAGACAAACAGCAAATGAAACAGGCCAAGAGCTGCTGTTTTGTTATTTTCCTCCCAGAACAGAGGAATTTCAGCCAAAGGAAATGGATAATTTACTGAATGCAAGGTATTTTGCTTAATAACCAGAAGTGGCTAATGTAGCAAAACCATCAGGGTAAAGAACCCTGATGCCACCAGCCACAAGAACACATCTTTCACTGCGGACAACAGTCATGTTCCATTTAATTCATTTTAGCCCCAACTATGTTTACATTTAGAAAACAAGCAATCTGCATAACTAAGACTTGGATTTCCCTTACCAATGAGATCTTTGGTCTTAACAGAAACTGATGTGTGGTGAAACAAAATATATTTGCTTCCTATAATTACCCCCTAAAGAATCTACAGAATAGTGCTAGGAAATGTATGCTGACATAACTAAATAAATGATTTGTAATGGGCAATGGGAATCAAAAGAAACCATTTTTCAGCTCTTATATTTCAAAAGACAGAATTTATGTGCTATAATCTTTACTCCTTGAAGAAAATGTCATTAACAGCACTTTGAAGCATTCAGTTAAATACTACTTGAGATCAGTTCAAGGAATCTGCTCACACTAGCCTGCCTCCAGGGCCCACTTGCTCACCCTCAAACTTGTGGGTAAGCACAGCTTTGCATAGGATGACCATGGTCACAAAAACACATCTCCATGCATTTCTGTGGGTGTTTCAGGGGGTACTTGACATAAAAATTTCTATTACCTCATTTATGAAATGACTGGGAGCTAAGCTTTATTACTAGTTCCAAGGTGACTTTGGACTTTTTAAATGTTAGGATTTTATAGTATGAAGACAGAGACAACCTGAGGTCAATCCCTATAACTAATTCATTAACTCCCCGCCTCAGACACACACACACACACACACACACACACACACACACGAACGATAAATATTTTAAAATATATAAAATATAGATAGTATGCTAAATAGTTTTATTGGGCTATAGAAAGGCCAATAGGGCATTTTCTTAGTGATTGATAGGGGGGACCCAGCCTATTGTGGGTGGTACTATTCCTGGGCTGGTGGTCCTGAGGTCTATAAAAAGAAGAAGAAGAAGAAGAAGAAGAAGAAGAAGAAGAAGAAGAAGAAGAAGAAGAAGAAGAAGAAGAAGAAGAAGAAGAAGAAGAAGAAGAAGAAGCAGCAGCAGCAGCAGCAGCAGCAGCAGCAGCAGCAGCAAGCTGAACAAGCCATGAGGCACAAACCAATAAGAAGCATCCCTCCTAGGCCTCTGCATCACTTCCTGCCTCCAGGTTCCAGCACTGCTTGTGTTCCTGTCCTGACTTCCTTCAGGGATGGACTAAGATGTGGAAATTTAAGACAAATAAACCCTTCCATCTCCCAGTTGCTCTGGCCATGGTGTTTTACCACAGCAACAGTAACCCTAACTAAGACAAATAGTACAGCAAGGAAAATGTCCAACAATTGTAGGCTACTGGGTATGCTACAGTTGGATGCCAAGGCTACACTAGTCATAATAAAGTGAGGGAAATTTAAAACTCAGGTTGAAAAGCAAAAGGAAACATTAGAAAACTGTGAATCCCTTATTTCTGCCTTGCACACTGCCTTAATTCTGAGTCAAGACAATTTTGAAAGTCTTAAATTTCATTTCAACTTTCACATAATTTATGCCAGGTATTTGGTGGCATATTCTTTCCAAGCATTTAGATGCACTAGCAAAATATTTATACTTTCAACATGTTTTAGCGCCAATAGAAAGACCTGGTTTAAACCCTCGGCTAAAATTGAAAGCAGAGGAACCTTAAAGCAATTACCAAACATCACTGAGCTGATGAAGACGTCTAGGAAATGGTCTGTAATTTCATAATGATCAAAGTGTAGTGACTGGTTATCCCTGGTTTGCCACTGCCAAGTCAAAAATAGAATGGATGCCTCAGCAGTGACCCAAGGTGAGCCAAGCATAGGAGCTTCTGGCTGGTTCTCATTTTCACTCCTGACATTGCTGTTTGTGTGTAACTGAGCATCAGCTAGACACAGGCACCAGGAAGGGTAGATGACATAGTGAAAAGAAAGACAAAAAATAAATACATCAGAGCCAAGAAATAGTGTCTCTATATACCAACTACCCCAAGACTGCATGTAAAGCAACCTACTATGAAATTACAGTAAAGGTTTCACTACCGTCTCCCAAAATAGAAATTAAAAGTTGTAATAAAGTCACCCAAAAAGTTAACTTTCAAATAATATCCATTTTTAGTATACTTTTTAAATCTAAGATAATTTTTTAATCTATAAATCCCTAACACGGAGAAGTGCCTCTGGTTTTCCTTGGCATTGGAAGGCTTAGATCTTGAATGGGAAAGACAATTTACTTCTTAAGACAGGAAAAAACAAAGCATAGAAAAACAGACTAAAGTCTGTTTTTAAAGTCAAAGAAGCCAAAGCTTGAAGATACAATGTTTCCAACACCTAGAGCCGAAACAAACAGAAAGCTCCATGACATTACTCGGTAAATAATGCAGACAGGAAACTCAAACACCACCCAGTACAGCCAACTGCCACAGGCAGAGAAGCCACAAGGAAGAGCAGACATCTAACAGTGCCTGCAAGGAGGCGCCACACTTGGGAAAGTTTGCAACTTGAACTGGTAAGTGATACATATCATCACAGTTAATGTGATAAAGCCCTTCAAAAAGCAATGTCTCGTTCATAGTTAACACCCTGTCATAATTGTCTGCAGAACCTCTTGAACCTCCAAATATCCTTGGATGATAAATATTTTGTTACCCTCTCCCAAAGTAGTGTGTGTGTGTGTGTGTGTGTGTGTGTGTGTGTGTGTGTGTGTGTGTGTGTGTTTTATAAAGGAAAAGAAATCTTTCTACTTGTGTACTTTGGAAGTCGTACCCACCCAGCCAGTCACTCAATGATGCATTGGGCCACTCTATTTCTTGAGTCCATAGAAGCAGTGGGCAAACATAAAGTCTAACACCAGGCCAGAGGAAACACAAACTTCATATGTGTAACACCAGCAACTCCACAAAACAAAGAAAGCTTCACGTGGAAATGTTCATTGCTAAACAAATTATTTCCTCTTAAATCCCTGTATTTCAGGCATCAACCCAGATCCGCTAATAACAAGAAAAATGGCAAATTTTAACTACATATGTGTTTATCTGCATACATATATATGCACGCATATGTATGGTTATAAATCTGGAGGCACTGTGAATTTTCATAAATTCTACTAATTACTAAAGATGGTGCTAGGAGAAGACAGAATTTCTTAGGAGAAAAGAAATAGACTTACTAAGTGATGAGTTTTAATTCTCCTAAAACCTGGGTGGGGGAGTGGGAAGAAAGTAAGGACTTTAAGGTAGGATCCTGGAGCAGGGGAAAATCCATTTCAACTAGTGAAAAATCCTTTGTAATCAAAATATTTTCTGCTCTCAAGGACTACTCTAAAATAAATAAATAAGGAACCAAAATATTCCTCAAGTAGAAAAACACTGAACAGGAATAAAATGGCTCAGCTAGTCGATTGAAGCACTGAGTGGAAAAGAAAATGCTTAGCAGAAGCCATGGGCTCTCACCATGGAGACCACGTCCGACCTTCTTTTCTTTCCTGGGTTTGTAAAATTAAATGGCTAAGGATTTGGACGGGCAGTTATTAAGTACAGTGTGATGTTTTAAAAAACTTTCCTTGACCTTACCAACAAACCATCAACTTCCCAGCATGGTAAGGCAGCCCATAGCTGGTTTGTTAAGAGACAAATGTGTTCCTCTTTCTAGTATCAGTTCTCTTAATAGCAACTCCCTGAAAGTGCCCGACATTCATTTTGTTTCCATCTCTGCCAGTTAAAATCAAACCCACGTTACTACGTCACATTGAACTTCACTCTAAACATGTGTGGCACTAGCTGGAGCCACAAGTCGACACGAAGTCTTTACAAGAACCCTCCCTCTTCTGGAAGCATACCCACAAAGGGACGATGTCTATGGCGGAGATGAAAGCTGAAAACCTGGTACTCAATGAGAAAATAACCGAGGCTACAAATCAGGAAACAAAAATTAAATGGTGTTTATAAACTATTGTTCTCATCACAACCAGTCACTTTTAAGACTTAATGTTAAGGTTCTCCTCAAAAACATGGAACACATAAAGGAAGCTAACTGACTGTTATTACTGTCAGTGCATAACCCTTACACCCTGGGAGATTCGGTCCTAACTGTCCCATTTACAATTAAATAAACATACCAAAACCGCAATTTATGCACCAGTTCTTACCAAAGTTAAGTGGTCTCCGTGCTCATTCACGAACGTTTACATTTCATCCTGTCTGCTTGGTTTACAATCCAAAGTACCATTTTAAAAAATATCATCTGAATGCCCACTCATTAAAATAACCACAGCACACACTGTGACCCAGAGCTTCCTTGATAATGGCTGTGTTTTGAAGTAGTTGTGAAAATAAACTTTGTGAAGGTTTGTTTCCAATCCCTAGTGTCTACCTAGTTGAACCACGGTAAAGTACCTTGCCAACTTGAATTATAGAGTGGATTTTTTTTTTTTTTTTTTTGAGGATAAACAAGGTAAAACGAAGTTTAGAATCCTCGGAGATCTTCTATGGCGTCTGCTCTCCCAGCTAGGAGCGGCTAACAACGTACAGCGTTGCTGTTTCCACTCTTAACTCCTCTTCGAAGGATGAAAAAGTTCAGCTCCAGCGTTCCCTGTGTCTCCCAGGCTCGCACACGCGCGTGCGCGCGCGTTCAACACACACACACACACACACACACACACACACACACACACACACACACACACACACACACACACAAACATCCCGGCTCTGCAGAGATCTGCAGCCCACCCGGAGCAAAGCGGCGTGGGCGGGCGGAGAGCCTGGGAGTCTCTAGCGAGGCAGACGCTTGCCGGGGGCCAGCACGCGGCCGTCGTTCCCTTCGCGACCCGAGCTCCTTCCAGGCCGAGATTTGCAGATTCCACCACTAGAGCGACTTTGGCAGCTTCACAATGGGCCGCTTCTCAAGGTCTGCCCGCAGCCCGCCAGCAGATGCCCTTCCCTACGCTTCCCACCCTCCCCAAAGTCCACCCGCGACAGGTGGGGCGAGGGCGGCGGTGCCCGAGACATCTGCCGCGGGAGTTTCGGGCCAGCACCGGGCCGCGATCCACAGTCCACAGACGCCACTGGGGCCCCCAAGCCACAGCGGCCTCGGCCTCGCCCGCGGGGTGCAGCGCGCACAGGGCGGGCGCGATAAGGTCGCCTGGGCTGTCGCCAGGCGCTATCTGGTCCCCGCAGTCATAAGCCCGCACACCATCGGGGCCAGAGGCGCGACAGGCCGGGCAAGAGCTACTTCTCAATGGGCCTCCCAG